GAAGGTTGCGGGTTCGAGCCCAGCTCAGTCTGTCGCTGTCGTTGTGTCCTTGGGCAAGACACTTAACCCACGTTGCCTGCTGGTGGTGGTCGCCTCTGTCAGTGCGCCCCAGGGCAGCTGTGGCTACATCGTAGCTCATCCCCACCAGTGTGTGAATGTTTGTGTGAATGGGTGAATGACTGATTGTGTTGTAAAGCACCTTGGGGGTTCCAGGACTCTAGAAGGCGTTATATCAAATACAGGCCATTTACCATTTACCATTTAAAGTGCTTCATAAATAAAGACTGATTGATTGGTTGACTGACTGACAGAAATTATTAAAAGTTTTGTCCTCTGATTCACTATTATGTTTTCCCGCTTTTCACTTTTTTCTATTCCTAATATTTGACATTTCCAAATGTCTTTCTTCCTCCAGAGTCGTGATCTTTTTCAAGCTCTAATCTTTGTTGTTTAAACTATAATCGCTGTCAATTTTCACAGCGTTCTGAGTTTTGACGGCTTAAAATGTGCATAAAAGCTGGGATGGTTTGAAATTCCGCTTTGATGAAAAGCCACCTCCAGAATGAAACAAACAACAGCAGATTGTATAAAGTCCTAGAGAGTCTGTTAGCGTAAAAACTGCAGATGTTTGTTGTTTTTCTGCAGTTTTATTTATTTATTTTTGGTTCCGTTTCATGGTGCACTCAGCAAATGAACAAACATCCCGTTCCTCTTTTCCCACTTCAGTGCTGCGCTCAGGCATAATGAGCTTCTGATGATCAGTGGGTGTCTGCAGCTTGGACTGGACACGTTTCACACTTGAGTTGCTGCGCAGAGGTAAAATACACAGTTCTACTTTAGGATCTAACAAATTTGTTCAAGGATGTCATTTAATAATCTAGAGCAAACAAACAAAAATAAATGGTGCAGTTGGTGATACTGTTGCCTCGCAGCAAGGTTGCGGGTTTGAATCCCAGATGCAGCCTTTCTGTGTGGAGGTAGCACGTTCTCTCACCATGCAGGCGTGGGGTTTCTCCCAGTGCTCCAGCGTCCTCCCACAGACCTAAAACACAGATGTAGGGGGTTTGAAGACCATCAATTTCTCTTACACTTTAAGAAAAGAAATGTTGAATTATGTCAACGGGTTCAACTAAACCTAGTTGCTTAAAGCCGGGCGGACACTGTGCGATGTTTTCACTCGTAGCACTCAGCTGCAGCTCACACTGTACGACTTCCTCGCAGGGCAGATCTCACGAGTCATGCGCTCACACTGTACGACCCAGTTCTCGGATGCGACCTGACTGCTCACACTGTACGTCTGGTAGCAACACGTCGGACCTAAAAATACGCTAAAAAGAGCAGTTTTTACACAACACGTCATTCTTTTTTGTCTTGTTTTGCCTGTTGTCCTTCGGGAGTCCTGCAGGAGGACACACAGGGATTTATGGGGTTGGATGAGGAAAACGAAATAAAGAAAGTAAATCTGTGTTTTGTGATCAGTTTAATTTGACATGAACACGACAAACACGCTTTCTTGACAATCCTTGTGAGTAAAAAAACGTGTAGAAACAAAAACGAACAACGTGTGTTATTAGGAAAATAGCGGGCGAGCGGTGTTGATGCAGGATTGCGCATGCGCCGTGAGCGGTTCTGGTCCTTTTTGGGTCGCAGCTGCTCGCAGCGCTGCTTCAACAGTACGATACCCTCACGAGGGACGAGCAAAATATCAAACACGCCAGAAGTCTGTGCGAGCTCACGATTGCTGATCGGTAGCTGGCCACGTGGTGTTAATCGCCTCTCGTAACCCCCTGTACACTACACGACGCTCAGCGCAAAACTCGCCCCGATCTTGTGGATTCTCGCACGAGTGGAAAATCGGCTCAAATAAGTGAAAAAGTCGCACAGTGTACGCCCGGCTTAACTCATTCACTGCCAGCTGTTTTCTGATCAGAAAGCCCCTGAATGCCAGCGTTCTTGAGCATTTTTCAGTTTTTCACATTTAAAGGGACTTTACGGAGTTTTGAATTTTTCTGCTCGCGATTGCCCCCTCAGGCCAAAAGCGTAACGGCAGCTTCAATAGTAGGCTCGTGCACGAGGCACGCATGCTGTCCGTGCACACTCCTTAATGAAAATAACAGCTGAGATGAAGCTCTGAGAGCTGACAGTCCCTTGTGTGTGTGTTCTGTACCTTTCTCTTCAGCACAGCCGACAAAGGTTTGTGATGGGTCAGTCCTCCTGCATGCTCACATCATTCCCTTCCCTTGCTTGAAAAATTGTTCCAAAATGAAAGTTGAACCCACATCTTTTTTATCTGTGAATTCAATGCCGTTCAGCGAGTCTCAAATAAAAATTTGGGCATCTTACTGTAAAAAAAATATACCATTAATGTAAAAAAGAAACTCTAAATAAACTATGTTCACATCCAGAATCGTGCCTGGGTCGTCTGCACAAAAGCCCGAATTCTTATTAGGCGAGCAAAAGCACCAGTGATGTCCTATGTATCTGTAACATTTATATCCTTGATGACAGCTGAAACAACGTTCAAAGAACGGTTCGGAGGGCGATGCCTGAGCGTGAACGTGCATGAAGCAGCCTGCTCGACCCGAGCATCTCTCTTTTTCTGTGATTTTACAGAAAAACAGGCAATCACAGTAAAAATACCAGGGCTCATTTTACAGGACCAGGGCATTGCAGGAGAATGTATGAAGAAGACATTTATTATTTCTATACATGTTTTGGCTGTCAAACTTCCATAATGCCCCTTTAAGTAGGTTTAGTTGAACTAGTTGGCATAACTTGGTTGAGTAAATTCAACATTTGATTTCTTACAGTAATCCCCCCCCACCCCACCCCCCCCGTGTCTCGCACAATGACTGCTGAAGATTCGGTAAGTTAAGTTAAGGCATTTAAGAATGCCAAATTATTATTTATATCAAACAAAAATAAAATACAATATAAGAAGCTCAACAGCACTGCTGCTCCTGATTTCAGCATTTTCATTATCTTATTTTATCTCCTAATTCACTGTTTAATGTGTTCACCAACAGTCTCTAACTTTTTCTGGCCTTTAGCGAATGATGAGGAAAAAATAAAATAAAATAAAACCACAAAACTGAAGAATCTCTCAGGAGGTTTGTAGAGGCTTTGTAAAAAAAGAAAAATTAAAAATCAAAATATATTTATGTAATTTGTTTGGTGTCATTGGAATGTTGTCAGAATGCATTTTGATGCTGCAGTGCTCTTTCTTCCTTTAAAATCGATGGAAAGTCACGAAGATTAAGCACTTTTCCTGCTGTCAAAGGGAAAAAAAGTGTGCAATAATGTTCGTGTCTGTGTCTTTTTACGTCTGACTGGTTACAAAACATCTCATGCACCGGGCAAATCTTACGGAAAGTAACCAGTGCAGATGATGCATTTGTAGTCAAGCCAATTTAAGATCACATCCAGTTAAACTTTCTAAAACTGATTTCAAGTGACTGACTTTTTCAACCCTGTGCCACAGCCATCAACTTTAACAGGTTGTGCAAAACCTCGCAAATCCCCTTTTTATTACGAAAACATAATCTGTTAGCAACTGAGTATTCCTTTGGAGGACTAGACCTTTAATTTTGTCTACCTTCAAAAGGCAAGTTAATTAGCTGCAGAGTACAGAATGAAATATATATATATATATATATATATATATATATATATATATATATATATATATATATATATAAATTGTGGTTTTGTAATGAAAAAAAGCTGATGTGCACAAAACATTTTCTAAATCTTCCTCCGTTTAATGATGTGTGAAGCATTAGCACTAATCTAAATGCAATAGTTTTTATCCAGTAAACAGGAATGGAAAGTTTAATGTAACAAGCATGTGCAATTTGAATATAAAGAGGAAAAAATGTCAAGGCCTACTGTTTTGCAGGGCTCACAGCAGGGAGGGCGCCCCAAGGGTTGCAGCATTTGTTTGTTCACTGACAGAAAACCGCGCTGATACAAATTGAAAAGACTTTTTTCATCTCTTTATATGACCCCCCCCCCCCCCCCCCCCCGTGACACGTGCTTTGTGTGTAAAAATACCCAATTTTTAAAAAAACAACAGGGTTTAACTTGTGACGCTGTGTTCTGTCACTCGGGATGCTAATGGCGCTGACGCACAAAATAATTATGTTTCATATATTTAAATCCCAAACTTTGCAAGCACAGCATGAGGGCTGGATGCTGATATCTATATAAGTTCAGCATTCAGTCAAAGTTTCTGCACAAATCCTTTCAAGGTGCTCCTAATTTCTGTGTTTGAAAACAAACGTACGTCTCTGCGCTAGCTGCTGCAATGCTCGGACACCATGTGAGTGGGTCATTATGAGCCTGTATATTCTGGCTTTGCCCTACTTAACCGCCACACCCATTGAGCCTCTGCTGTCGTTGGAACGCCTCTGATGAAGACCCCCCCCCACCCCCCCACCCCCACCCCCACCCCGCACGTCCCGTCCACGAGTGCTGCATATCAAGGATGAAGCCACTTGCTGTGACCAAGATTGCTTTGGCTGCTTCTGTTCTTCATTATTTTTTTACCAACTTTACTGCAAAGTGGAGGAAAAAGCTGCAGACGGCTTAAATAATACACCAGACACAGTGTGGCTCTCACAAAAATATAACTCTTACTACGGCTGAGCTCCTCTGCAAAAAATAAAAGAGGGTCTTGTGGAGCTTGGAGTGACAGAGATCTACACGTGATCAACATTCTGGATGATGCTCGAGCTCTAGAGCTTGAAGGGGAGTAATGAGACCATCTCACAGGTCCCTAGCTGCGGAAGCCGTTTGTGATCACCGTGTGTGCACTCATGAACGATTCGTGCTTTTTGTAAATTTCAGTCAATCCTTCTTTTGATTCTGATTGAGCTGCACACAAATTAGTGTCTGACAGTTTGTTGCATCAGAATAAGGCGACATTGTCCTGCTGAGACTTCTGACAGCAGCACAAATCCCAAGCATGCTCATGAAACGCCAAGGGGGGAAAAGTGAAAGAGGTCCTGTGTTCTTTAAACGAAAGCAGCTTAACTCCTCGTGTCATCTGGAAGACGACTCGCCTCTCGTCCAAGAGGATTCTCCAGTTCTGAAGCACTGGGTGGGAGAAGCAGGCTTGTAATCAGAAACAATTACACTGACTGGGGAATTGAGGTCACCAATGATGTCACTGATGAGGCCATTAAGGTCATACGCATCTCTGGCCCAACCCTCGTAGAAGGAGTTTAGTGTAGGTTAGATTATGGATGACTGAGAAACTTCTCCAACATATTTAGAGACATTCCCGCAGCATTTTGTATTTTTAGTCCTGCTTATTAAAGCTTCAAAGTTCTACTTGACCTTATTTCATCATAAACAAGGGCATTCACAACAAGAGCTGAACTTAGCTGGCTTCCTGGGTCTAATTTATTAAAGTCTAAAACTTCTGTTCTGATATCAAAGGTTATGTTAAGGAAGACTGTTTTCTTGTATTAGGTAAATGTTTAAATATACAATTGTAATTCCCTGGTGCCACCTTAAAAACCTGCAGTTGGTAACAGGACATGATGTCATCAGTAAATAGGAAGTAAGTCTGTGAATTAAGGAGAAGGCATGTGCAGCATGGTGACCTTAGCCAGATAAATCCAGTGGCATCCACATACATCCTATGTCTTTGGTAGCATTGTGGGTATGTATAGACTTGTTTTATATGTTATGTGCATGTATAAATCATTTTCTTTCGAGTAAGTTAATTTTTTTTTTAAGTTTAATGATAAAACCGATCTTGTGCAGTTTGAGCTAGCAATCGCTAATGGAGCTACTTAAAGGGGAACAACAAACACATTAAAGCCATTCATTATAGCGAGACTTGTTAAAATCATAATTTGATGTTTGTAATTGAGTTAAAAAGATAAGTAATTCATATGGACATTGCATGTTGACATATTTAAAAAGAAACTGGGTTAATACATTTTCATCGTTATATATGTACATGGTGAATAAGTACAGTGATTATGCCTTGTACTGTTTGTTACAGTTTCACCTTTCCCTGTGTCAATAAACCTGTGAACCGGGAATCGTTTCGTCAGAGACTTGATGTGGGGAAGGAGTTTAGCTGACTGCCCATCCCTAGCAGAGGCAGTACAGTGAAACCACACTTCCTAGCGGGCAAGATAACGTGGAAACACCGACAGATGGTAAGGAGACCATCATCTCAAGCAACTAATGGACAATTAACACATCTAAGCAGAGATTCGCTAAGAAATTGTTCAGTCCAAGTCAGAAGAAACAACCATGTCAAAAACGAACTCGCACACTCCTTCTGCGCACTCCAGTGCATCATCTAATGGGTCTGCGGCAGCCAAGGCACGAGCACGCGCAGAAGCAGCAAAGGCTCGTCTTTCTTATGCTGAGGAGGAAATAAACCTAAAACTAGAAAAGGCTAAATTGGAAGCCTCACTGAAAATGCTAGAATATAAGAAAGAAACTGCTGCAGCCATTGCGGAGGCAGAAGCGCTGGAAGCTGCAGCTGATATCAATAGTGAAAGACGTAGTTGTGACCTTGTACTAGATTCCGACCCTCTAGAAACAGAGGGACACAACAGTATGTTGTGGACCAAAGCAAAGTATCAGAGACAGAGCATCAGCGGCATGAAAATGTTACTCCAATAAAAACAGAGTCATTCTCCAGCTCACATGGAGTTCAGATCTGTAAAGAAGAAGATTTTCACGAGTCACGACGAGTAAGATTTGAACATAGTTCTGCTACTCCAACCCAGAATCTCAGATCTCAAAATGACTATAGGGGTGCATTTTCCTCAGACTATCCCATTTCTCCTAACGCCAACTATAGCAACCCCAACCCAAATGATTTTGTGAGATATCTTGCACGCCGTGAACTTGTGTCTACAGGCTTACTTCAATTTAATGACAAGCCACATAATTACAGAGCCTGGAAACGCTCATTTCTTTCTGCAACCAGTGGCTTAGATTTGACTGCGAGTGAAGAGATGGATCTTCTCTTAAAGTGGCTTGGTAAGGAGTCAAAAGAACACGCAGAGCAGATCAGAGCAATTCATGTTAATCATCCAGGAGCTGGGCTGGATATGATATGGGAAAGACTCGATAGAACCTATGGCTCAACAGAGGCAATAGAGGATTCTCTCTTTAAGTGCATTGACACGTTTCCAAAGTTAGGAAACCGAGACTATGCTAAGTTAACAAAGTTGAGTGATCTTCTGATGGAACTTCTTTCGGCTAAGGATGAAGGAGACCTACCTGGACTTTCATTCCTTGACACAGCAAGAGGTGTTAACCCAATCGTGCAGAAGCTCCCCTTTCATCTGCAAGAAAAGTGGGCTTCAGCTGGTGCATCGTACAAACGGCGAGAGCATGTGCCATATCCGCCCTTTACCTTTTTTGTAGAGTTTGTTAGCCAGGAGGCTAGCACTGCCAACGATCCAAGCTTCAACTTCATCACTCAGACAGACATCAGCCACAGAACTGAGAAGTTAGCGTGGCAGCCAAACAAGCATAGAGAAATCTCAGTTTTTAAAATGGACGTATCCTCCAGAGCTAGTTCTGATTTTAGTAAATTCTCATCAAAGCTTGATGATTGTGATAAAGTATGCCCCATTCATGGGAAACCACACCCATTACGCAAATGTCGTGCATTCAGAGAAAAATCGATTGAAGAGCGCAAGATGTTCTTGAAGGAACACAATTTGTGTTTCAGATGCTGCGCAGCATCATCGCACCTTGCTAGGGATTGCAAGGTCAAAGTGCAGTGTTCCGTGTGCAAGAGTGAAAGGCACGACACAGCTCTGCATCCGGGGCCTGCACCTTGGATAGAAGTGAAGGACCCTGCTCCAGACCATGGCGGGGAGGAAGTTGAAACTCTGCCTCAATCGGACATCACCGCCAAATGCACGAAGGTTTGCAGGGGAGATATGATGGACCGATCCTGTTCCAAAATATGCCTCGTGAAGGTATATCCAGCTGGGAAAAGAGAAAAAGCAGTAAAGCTGTATGCAATTTTGGATGAGCAAAGCAACAGGTCGTTAGTTCGCTCACAATTTTTTGAAGTGTTTGGTGACAGAAGCCCAAGTGCGCCGTACATACTGAGAACATGTGAAGGAGTAAAAGAATCATCAGGAAGGAGGGCAAGTGGATATGAGGTGGAATCTCTTGATGGGACAGTCCGTATTCCATTACCCAGTCTCACAGAATGCAAGGAAATCCCCAACAATAGGGATGAGATTCCAACCCCTGATATCGCTCTTCATCATGCACATTTAAAGTCACTGGCACACCTCATCCCAGATCTGGACCCAAATGCCCAGATCATGCTTCTCTTAGGGCGGGACGTTATCAGAGTACATAAAGTCCGCAAGCAGGTGAATGGTTCACACAACCAGCCCTATGCTCAGAAGTTAGATCTGGGATGGGTTGTTGTGGGCAATGTGTGTCTCGGCAGTGTCCATAGGCCATCAGCAATCAGCTCCTTCTACACAAATACCACAGAGCTGCGGAGGCCATCTATCTTTAACCCGTGCCCCAATGTGTTTTGTGTTAAAGAAAGGTACAGCGTCACCCAGGTTGCAAACCATCTTGCAACATGTTCTGAACAAGAGTCCACCTGTGATGTTGACCATCTTGGATGCAATGTGTTCAAAAGGACCAAAGAGGATAACCAAGTTGCTCCTTCAATTCAGGACGCTTCATTCATGAATATAATGAAGGATGGACTACAGAAAGACACAAATAACAGCTGGGTAGCCCCATTACCCTTCAAGAGCCCACGTCAGCAGCTTCCTAACAACAGGCCTCAGGCACTGAAGCGTCTCAAGTCTCTCATTCACAACTTTGAGAGGAAGCCTGAAATGAAGGAACACTTCCTTAGCTTCATGGAACAGATGTTCAAAAATGGTCATGCAGAGTTGGCTCCTCCGTTGGGTGAGGAGGAAGAGCGATGGTATTTACCAACATTCGGTGTGTACCATCCCAAGAAACCAAAGAAGATCAGAATAGTTTTTGACTCCAGTGCTCGATTCAATGGTGTGTCACTCAACGATGTGCTGTTGACGGGGCCTGACCTGAACAACACACTGCTGGGTGTATTGATTCGCTTTAGAAAGGAAGCTGTTGCATTCTCAGCAGACATAGAACAAATGTTCTACTCTTTCTTGGTCAGAGAAGAGGACAGAAACTTCTTGAGGTTTCTATGGTTCCGTGATAACGACCTCTCCAAAGACATCGTGGACTACCGCATGACAGTCCACGTGTTTGGGAATAGCCCCTCGCCTGCGGTGGCTATTTACGGCCTGCATCAATCCGTTCAGGTCAGTGAGTTCCAGGTTGACCCTGATGTAAAGCATTTTGTGATGCGAGACTTTTATGTAGATGATGGGTTGAAGTCTCTGCCTACAGTCGAAGCAGCAATCGACTTGTTAAAGAAGACACAGGATGTCCTCTCCAGATCTAACCTGAGGTTGCATAAGATTGCAGCAAACAAGACGGAGGTCATGAGAGCCTTTCCTTCAAGAGACTATGCAAGTGACCTTAAAGATCTTGACCTCGATGCAGACACAGTGCCGATGCAACGCAGTCTCGGGCTCAACTGGAACCTTCAAACAGATTGCTTTGTCTTCAGTGTCTCTCAGGAGACAAAACCTTATACCCGCCGGGGAGTCTTATCTATCATTAACAGTCTCTATGATCCTCTTGGGTTTGTAGCACCAGTTTTAATACAAGGCAAGACCATTCTACGAGAGCTCACTGCTGAGAATTGTGACTGGGATGCGCCATTACCTCGAGACAAAGAGGAAGCTTGGACCTCGTGGAGAGCTTCACTGACAGAGTTGTCAAGTCTGATGATACCCAGACCCTACACTGAAACTTCACCATCGACAGCTGTCAACAGAGAATTGTGTGTTTTCTCTGATGCTTCAACAAAAGCTATTGCTGCAGTAGCATATCTTAGAGTCACAAACACTGCTGGAAACCATCATGTGGGGTTTGTCATGGGAAAGGCCAAGCTGGCTCCTCGTCCAGAGCACACAATCCCGAGATTGGAGCTCTGTGCAGCAGTACTGGCTGTTGAGTTGTCAGACCTGATCTCAGCAGAACTTGATCTTCAGCTTAATGCTGTGACTTATTACACAGATAGCAAGGTGGTTCTGGGCTACATTTGCAATGAGACTAGGTGATTTTATGTGTACGTAAGCAATCGAGTCCTGTGCATTCGAAGATCCTCCAGTCCACGCCAGTGGCGCTACGTGGCCACAAACCAGAACCCTGCAGACCATGCAACACGTTCGGTTGCTGCGGGCACTTTAAAAGACACCAACTGGCTTAGTGGACCCAAGTTTTTGTCCAAACCAGAGCAAGATGTCCCTGGCATCACCTTTGATCTTGTGGAACCAGGTTCAGATCCAGACATCCGACCGTTTGTGTCTACATTAAGCACTGCCACAGCATCCAAGCAACTTGGGTCCCAACGATTCACCAAGTTTTCTTCGTGGCGGTCACTGACTCGTGCAATCGCCCATCTGAAACATATTGCCAGTTGCTACAACATTATCACAACGAACAGACTTTGTAAGGGCTGGCATCTTTGCAAGACAGGATTGAGTGTTGAGGAATCCACCCAGGCCTCAGACATCATCATTCGATCAGTCCAAGAAGAGGTTTATGGTGAGGAGATCAAATGTATCATGGTACACAAAGAGGTTCCCAGAAGTAGTCCTCTGAAAAGTCTCGATCCCTTTATTGATGCACATGGCCTACTAAGAGTCGGAGGTCGTCTTAACTATTCAAGCCTTGCTCAGAGTGAGAAGACTCCTGTGATTATTCCAGGGAATCATCATATTGCGACCCTGCTCATTAGAAAGTACCACGAACAAGTTCACCATTAAGGGCGACTCTTTACGGAAGGGGCTGTCCATTCAGCTGGGTTGTGGATTGTTGGTGGCAAGAGAAAAGTGAGCAGCATCATCTACCGATGTGTGACATGCAGAAGACTCAGAGCTCCAGCAAGCTGTCAAAAAATGGCCAGCCTTCCGGCAGATCGTCTTTCAACAGACCCTCCCTTCACAAATGTTGGCCTTGATGTGTTTGGTCCTTGGAGGCAGTAGAGGGCAGTAGAGGGCGACAACGTCCTCTGCTGCCCGCAGATAAACGGAGAAAGAAGTGACGCCACCATCAGCGTCAGCCTGAAGAAGCCGGCAGCTGTCGGCGAAACCGTAGCTACAAACAGGTAAACAAAACTGTTTCTGTGTTTAAAAAAGAACGAAAGCATGGATTTACAAAGACACAGCAAGAACACACCTAAGATGTTCAAAGAGAAATACGGACAACAAGGAACGAAGGACTTCCGCCGTTTGGAACGATTACACCAGAAACGCGCACGTCTAAGAAACCACCTTCGCTTCTGTTTAAGATGCCGGGATGAAAACATCACACCCACAAGCCTACAGCTGAAAACATCGATCCGGACCCAGACAGCACAAAATATAATAGAAAGAGCACAGAGAGCACTGCTCAAGGAGAGGATAAGGAACGTCATAACCAAACAGAGGCGTGTGGAGGACGAACTGGAAAGAGGACACCTGGACTTGAAAAAGAATTACAAACTTGATAAACAAATGGAGGAACTAATTAAAGGACACATGATGGAAAAACAGGAACAAGAGTTCATAAAAGTGAAAGAAAGACACATAAAGAAGTTAAACAGACTCATAAACAAGAAAAAGAGGGGAGAAATACAAGGCAACTCCACACCAAACTCATGGGTATGTAACATTTCACAATACAAACTAACAGAAGCAGAAGAGAGCATATTAAAGAAAGGTTTAAACTTTGCAGTCACACCAAAAGAAATACCATATGATGAATTTATTGTAGCAACAGAACTAGCATGTCAACAGATCACAGATGAGGGAAAGAAAGCAGAACTCAGAAATAACGTAGTTGGGATATTAAAAAACAGCCAAATTCAACACAGCAATATTACAAAAGAAGGACAATCAGCCATGACAGCTTTATCCAAAAATGAACAGATAATTATTCTACCGGCAGATAAAGGAAGAACCACAGTAGTTATGGACAGAGAAAAATATAAACAACAGATGAAACAGATGCTAGAAGACAAAAATACATATGAAATACTTAAAAAAGATCCAACAGAAAACATTAAGAAAAACATTAAAAAATTACTGAAGCCACTGCACGAAAAAGGCAAAATAACAGAAAAAATGTACAAACACTGGATTCCCACAGCAAACATAACACCAAGAATATATGGAACACCAAAAATACATAAACAAAACACCCCACTTAGACCAATAGTTGACAGCATAGGTACACCAACATACAACATGGCAAAAGATATCAGCAGAATCATCAGCCCGTTATTAGGAAATACAGACCAACACTGCAAAAATAGCATAGAATTGGCAAAAGAACTAAAGGAAATTACAATAGAAGACAACGACATACTCATCTCACACGACGTCACATCTCTGTTCACAAAAACACCAACCCAAAAAACCATAGACATAGTAGTTAACAGAATCAGACAAGACAAAACTTTACAAAAAAGGACAAACCTCACAGCAGATGACATAGCACAACTGATAGGACTGGTAGCTAACTCCACTTACTTCACATACGACAACACAATATACAAACAACTGGAAGGCTTCGCCATGGGTAACCCGTTATCAGCCACCCTGTGCGAGTTTTTCATGGAAGACCTGGAACAAAAAGCCATAGCCACCGCCCCCCCAAACTGCAAAATAAAACTATGGAAACGCTACGTAGACGACATACTGGAAATCATACCAAAAGGTCAAACAGAAACACTAACACAACACTTAAACAATATTGACGACACGGGCAACATAAAATTCACTTATGAGTTAGAAACAGAAGGCAGCATAGCATTTATGGACATGAAAATCACCAGGCAGACCGATGGGACCCTAAACATAAACACATACAGGAAACCAACACACACAGACCAATATTTATTATGGACATCAGAACACCCCACCATACACAAAATGTCAGTAATCAGAACATTATATCACCGAGCAAACATAATAACAGAAGAGAGAGACCGTAAACAAGAGGACAAACACATACAACACGCTTTAAAGACCTGCAGATACCCGACATGGGCAATAAACAAAGGAAAACAACAAACAAAAACAGAAAGCAAAGAACAACCCAAAAAAAGAACCAGAAACCCAGAAAGACAAGAACCAAAACCAGTGATAACCCTACCATATATCAGAGGCATAACGGAAAAAATAAGAGCAACAATGAAAAAACACAACATAAACACACCAACAAAGCCATACACAACAGTTAGAAACAGATTAGTACACCCAAAAGACAAAATATCAGCTGGACAAAAATGTGGAGTCATCTACGAAATCCCATGCAAAATATGCAATAAAACATACATAGGAGAAACCGGACGCCAACTCAATACACGGACAATAGAACACAGAAAGGAGTGCGAGAAAGAGGCAAATCGTAAACACACAAGAGCAGCAAAAGAAGAAGCAGAAAGTACAATAAAAAAGTCAGCCGTAACAGATCATTGCTTAAGAGCAAATCATATAATGGACTGGGACAGCACACGGATCATAACCACTGAACAACAAAAATACAAAAGATGGATCAAGGAAGCAATCGAGATAAGGAGACGTGGATGTGGGACCATGAACAGGGACGACGGAGTTTACACGCTGGACCACGCATGGGACTGCATCGTCGGAGAGGGGAGAGCGGGCAGTAGAGGGCGACAACGTCCTCTGCTGCCCGCAGATAAACGGAGAAGGAAGTGACGCCACCATCAGCGTCAGCCTGAAGAAGCCGGCAGCTGTCGGCGAAACCGTAGCTACAAACAGGTAAACAAAACTGTTTCTGTGTTTAAAAAAGAACGAAAGCATGGTCCTTGGAGTGTTTCTGCACGCCGGACTAGAGGAGGCCTCTCACACAGCAAAAGGTGGGCCGTGATTTTTACATGTATGAGCGTAAGAGCAGTACATATTGAAGTCATAGAATCCCTCGACACGTCCAGCTTTATCAACGCATTAAGGCGGTTTCTAGCAGTCAGAGGGCCAGTCAAAAGTATTCGATCAGACAGAGGCACTAACTTCGTGGGTGCTTGTCAGGCCTTGAAGATACCTTCTAACATCGACCACAATGGTGTCAAGTCTTACCTGTCAGCCCAAGGATGCTCTTGGACATTCAACCCTCCATATGCCTCCCACTTTGGTGGAACGTGGGAAAGGATGATTGGTCTGGCTAGAAGGATTCTTGACTCCATGTTCCTCCAGCTCAAAGGGAAGCTTACCCATGAAGTGTTGGTAACTTTCATGGCAGAAGTAGCAGGCATTATTAATGCCCGACCTCTTGTTCCTGTAACAACTGACCCCGACAACTCATTCATTCTTACGCCAGCTGCTCTTCTAACACAGAAGGTAAACTGTGTTCCTGCTCCTCCAGGAGAGTTTGGACCCTCTGACCTCTACAAGCCTCAGTGGAGACAAGTCCAGCACCTGTCCAACACCTTCTGGGACAGGTGGCGCAAGCAGTTCCTTCCAACATTGCAATCACGTAGGAAGTGGCAGTCATCTAACCCAAACATTAAGCCAGGGGATGTTGTTCTCCTCAAGGACAGGCAAGTACAAAGAAATAAGTGGCCACTTGGTCTGATAATACAGACCTTCCAAAGCAAAGATGGTAAAGTTCGCCAGGTCGAGGTCAAGGTCATCAAGCCCGGCGGAGAAACATTGTTTGTCAGACCCATTACAGAAATAGTACTTCTTCTGGCTCCAAATGTCTAGGTGTTAAACTGTCATTGGTAAAGTGTGGTGGCTTTTTTTTTTTTTTTTTTTTTTTTTTTTTTTTTAGATGATGAGTTCACCTGTTCATCATCACCTCACACCCCATCACCTTTTCTTTTTAGTTCTTTCTTCTTTTTTAACCTGTTTCTGTATTTTCCTTTCCTCTTTTTATCTGCTTCTTTACACCTGTATGGCACAACCACACAACTTTCCAACACTGCGTCAGACTCCACACACACACACACGCACACGCACGCACACACACAGACACACACATGCACACACAGACCCACACACACACACACACACAGGAACACGCACACACACACACACACACACACACACACAC